GCAATGGGGAGACAAAGGCGGCCGGGGGTGGTGCTGGCCACCCTCACCCCCCCCCCCCCCTCGTGTGCCATGCTAGCATGAATAGGTGCTCGCTAACAGCACTTGCCCGAACAGGCTGTGTGGGCTATAATAAGGGCGGGGTCTTTGCCTCTGTGTGTGATCACGTGACCCCACATTGCGTCGCGATGGAGACGCGGTTAGCGTCAGGTGTGGACAGTTGCGTTACCATCGTGACAAGGAGGCCATCGATGCAAACCCAACATCACCACCATCACCCAACATCACCACTATCACCCAATATCACCACCATCACCCAATATCACCACCATCACCCAACATCACCACCATCACCCAACATCACCACCATCAACCAATATCACATTACCCCCTAACCCAACATCACCACCATCACCCAACATCACCACCATCACCCATCTGCACCATCACCCAACATCACATCACCCCCACACCCAACATCACCACCATCACCCAACATCACCACCATCACCCAACATCACCACCATCACCCAATATCACATCACCCCCTAACCCAACATCACCACCATCACCCAACATCACCACCATCACCCAACATCACCACCATCACCCAATATCACAACACCCCCTAACCCAACATCACCACCATCACCCAACATCACCACCATCACCCAACATCACCACCATCACCCAATATCACATCACCCCCTAACCCAACATCACCACCATCACCCAACATCACCACCATCACCCAACATCACCACTATCACCCAATATCACATCACCCCCTAACCCAACATCACCCAACATCACCACCATCACCCAACATCACAACCGTCACCCAACATCATCATCATCATAATCATCATCATCATCATAACATCCCATCACCGTCACACCACCAATCAATACAGAATCAGATCACATCATCATTCAACATCACATCACCAAACACCATCAACCATCAGCATCACCGCACATTGCCATCACATCAGCATAATCACCACAAATCATCACCCTACATTAACCATGCCATCACCATCAGTCCGAGATCACCCTCGTGCACAGCCACCATCGTTCCATTAACCCACATCGCCACATCAACATCGCATCCCAATAAACTCCCCTCCCCCCACCACCACCGCATCCCCTTCACCCGGCTGCCCGCCCACGTGACTAGGATGTTTTCATCCCGAGAATCCCGCGCGCGTGACGTCACGAGGGGGGGGGGGTGTGTGGGGGAGGGGGGGGGGAGCCCCTCCCCTAGTGCATCACCAAACACAATCGACAGAAGCCCTCAAAGCATTCGTCAACAGCAGTGTGGCTTCAACTAGAATCAACATCGTCTACATTTTTTTTCGATTTAAAGCTTTCGTGACTGCAGGGATTCGTCTTCTTGGTTCTTTCGGTAAATTCTAGATTTGAAGCTTTCGTGACTGCAAGGATTCATATTCTTAGGTTTTTCGGTAAAGTCACGTAGGTGACTTTGCAGCAAATCTGGCTGTGACGGTCCCACCTGATGAAGGAGACTTGTGTTGCCTCCGAAACGTCGTGATTTTTATTTTATTTTATTAATTTTAATGTTTTACCTACGTGACTTTACCGAAAAAACCTAAGGATATCTTTCGGTAAAGTCATCACGTAGAAGAGAAATAATGAAATAATAAAAATAAAACATAATAAAATTATTCTCACGACGTTTCGGCCACAACGCAAGCAACCGTCATCAGGTGAAGACCAGGTCTATCGGGGAGACAGCGTCTGAACATTGACAGACGGGACATTAATAATAATAATAACACCGTGTAACAAATGTATCTGGAATGTTCTGGAAATAGATACATTTCAAAATGCCACTGTCCTGGTCACAAAAGCAACGTTTGTGGGGAATAATAGCCATTTTCTCTACTTTTTAGGCATAAGCAATTACAAAAGAACACTTACGACCCAGGAACAAACATTGTGTTACAGTGTCATACATAGTGTAATAATATCTGCCATTAACATGCAAATTTCTCACATGAACATCTCTAGCCCCGCCCACTTCGTCTATGACCCTTGGGCTACACCCATTTCAAACCTTCAAACCCGCCTGCCTCGGCAGCTTTCCTCTCTTCTTTCTCAGCCTGATGACGAACGATTGCGTTGCGATCGAAACGGCGTGGGTGTTTTGCTTTTATTATTTTAAATTAATAATTTTTATAAATGTTTTATAATTTTTATTTTATAAATTTTTTTATTATTATTTTGATTGAATGTTTACATATCCATTTATATATGTTCTATTTACGTGACTTTACCGAAAGAACCAAGAATATGTAATAACATCGCCAATCCTAACATAAACATCGGCAGCAGCAGCAGCAGCATCGTCGCCATAAGCGGGTTAATGAAAGGAGCCAAAACTTTAAATGGACTTAGAATCGTCATCATCTTCGCTAATAATACCATCAAAGACGCAGTAATCTTCAACAGACGTAACCACAGCACTCGTCACCACACCTCCTCCTTCCCAGACACAGCCAAATAGTGCACCACATCAAGCGCTGGGTCCACACTGCCCGATACACATCATACCCCCCCCCCTACCAGACACCCCACCCTGGCACGGTACACCACATCAAGCAATGTACCGCAAACCCCACCACACCCATCCACCCAGCCCGCATTCCGCGTTACATCTGCCGCGCACACACGCGTCTCTCATACGCACACATCGCACACACACACATCACACACACCGCACACACATCACACACACGTATATACACATATCACACACACATCACACACACACATCACACCACACACACGTATATACACATATCACACACATCACACACACACATCACACACGTACATACACACACATCACACACGTACATACACACACACACACGTACATACACACATCACACACACACACATCACGCACACACTATAACACATCACATACACACATCACGCACACATACATACAGACATCACACACACATCACCTACACACATCACGTACACACACATCGCACACACATCACGCACACATATACATACAGACATCACACACACATCACCTACACACACATCGCACACACATCACATACAGACATCATGCACACATCTCGCACACACATCACATACACACATCACGTACACACATCACGCACACATATACATACAGATATCACACACACATCACCTACACACATCACGTACACACACATCGCACACACATATCACGCAAACACACATCACACACACATCACGTACACACAGATCGCATTCATAACCATCACACACACAAAGACAAAAATCCCCCGTATAGCCTTAATAAACTGGTGGGGCAAGTGCGGTTTGCGAGCACCTATTAAGACCAAAACCGGCACGCGAAGGGATGGTGCAGCAAGAGACGTCCACCAGCCGTTGCCTCCCCGTGCTGACGGAGCACAACACCGCACCAGCTACTCAGTTGAGGCCGAGTCGACCTAGGGGAGGGCCCGGGAAGGGTTGACGTTGGCCCGTGGAACGGGAACCGAACTCGGTCTGCCGAATTGATAGCGCAGTGCGTAGAAACGTGCGTGACGTCACGGACAGAGTCGCAGGGGGGGGGGGGGTAACAACCCCCCCCTAGATCTATAAATAGAATCAAACGCGGACAGAGAATCACAAAAGCCCCCCGGGGGTCACGTGACGCGAGTGATAGCAGAGAGAGTGAGATGCGGAGAGAGACAGATTTAGAGGGCGAAAGAGTCACTATGGGCGCGGAGAGAGGGAGACGCAGGAGGGAGAGAGAGGCAGGCAGGGGGGGCTGGGTGCGAGAGGGAGACAGAGAAAATACATCGACAGAGAGAGACAAAAATTAATCTTCCACATTTTACATAGCGGTCTCAAGGTGCACCTAACCTGGCACAAGCGCTGTGGTGAAGTCACTGCCACTTGGTGGGTGCGGGGCGGGTGTTGTATCTGCGTGCGAACGTGCCCATGAGATGCTCCATCTCCAGGTGAAGTATTTACATCGACAGGATTAAAAGTCCATAGTCTTGTCAAGCAGACAGAACAAAACAAGGCGTCAGACAAAAAACGAATAGGAGACGTCTCAGACCCACCGTAGACGTTCTTGTCCCTGTGCAATGGGGATGTGATACGACCTGGCTGCCACACAGCGACGATCACGTCTCTACACGATCACAGCCCTCTCAATACTGCGGAATGGCCAGGGTCTTTACAACCCCCACACACACCCTTTATAACACTCGACACCATTCAGGGGTCCTGATCGAGGGGGTATGCCCTCCCCCCCCCTCTCCAGACACTATCACATCCCCCCCCCCCCCCACTTTCGATGACCTCTGGAGACCTCCCCGATGACCTCTGGCGACCCCCCACATTTACCCCGGGTGATGAGAGGTCGGTGTGGCTGTGATAGTCTTTGTTCATCTATTTGTGCATAAACACGCGCGCGCGTGGCCTGCGAACTGGGCGACCCAAGTCACGAATACAGAATTTTGTAACTGTCCCAGGTCTCCCCATGGACACCTCCGCCTCCACTAGTTTGGATTATAAACGTAAGCATCAAGCGGCCAGACGTGGTTCTGGCCACACAATCTCCTTTATGTGCCGTGACGGCCTCAACGGGCTGCTCGCTATCAGCACTTGCACCAAAAGCCTTTTGAAAGGCTATACGGGGGACCTTTGCGTTGGGTGTATGCCATGTGTGGTGCACGGGTGGTGCATCTGTCAGCCATAAAGAAGTTAACACGCAACACCTGGGGTGTGTCCCGTGACCCCTCCTCGCAAGCAGCGAGAGCATTCCACACTTCGCGTGACGCTCCGAAGGTGCACCTAGCCTGGCACAAGTGCTGTGAAGTCACTGCCCACTTGGTGGAGAGTAGCGGCTGCTGTACATGCGAGTGCGAGAATGTGCATACACGGCATCGCCACGTGCAAACCAGATGTTCCATCAAAGAGTAAATAAAAAAGTCCAATGTCCACCACCAAGCAGATACAAAAAATGCTCAACTTTATTTGAAATCCGTATAAAAAATAACCGCGTACACAGCAGCAGCACTGGCCGCGTGCACAGAACACCAAATACTTCAAATTATTAAGACCTCAAAGGAGGGGTGGGGGGGGGGGGTTAAATATCGCAGTGGTGGTGGCGGTGAGATTGATGGGGGTCCCCCACTCCTCCCTCGCAATTTATTTACAAAAAACGCGCTACTGCGGAGGACGAAGATTGAAATAAATAGAAGTTAAAATTGCATCAGATCCATTCTCCTTTCCCCATAACAAGTAACCCCCCCCCACCACCCTCTTGCCAACTCACTATGTACACACACACACAAGGAAAGGCAATTTAACAGTATCATCATCCCCTTCACCGTTATTATTATTATTGTTACGTGGCCTACCCAACGCTCTAATCACACTCGGACTAAGGGAGAGGGAGAGTTGAGAGGGTTGCGCAATTCGTTGTCCCTGAGGGTAGGAACAAAATGGGCCCCCCCCCTTGGGTTGGAATTCCCCCCCCCTCACCCCAAACCACCAGAGGGGGAAGCTCCAAGTTCCCGGGGGTGGGGGTCCGTTGACGCCATGAGACAGGTCACTCGACCTATGACATGACTCGAGCCAATTAGCCGATGATATTGAGGTCGTGAGGTCAGGGCCAAGAGGTTGCGGTAGAGGGGGGGGGAGCTAGGATTGGATCAGAATTGGGGTGGGGGTACAGGGGGAGGGTTAAGGGTTGAGATTGTGGGAGTGCAGGGGGTTCATCAAGCCAAGGGGTTGTGGGGGTGCATGGATGATGGGGGTGCATGGATGATTAGCAGGTGAACAAGGGGGCAAGCAGCTGGTGCTGGGAAGGGGTAGACGGGGGGGGGAAGCTGTAAACTTAAAACACCACGGGGGGCCGCAGTGCGGTGGGGGGCAGGGAACTCAGGATGGGCTCCCTTTCACTCAAGACAGACGACCACGACGCAAAATAAATAGCGCGGCCATCACCGTCACATCAATAAATAACTCGAAACATTTGGCGGTGGCGACCCCCTCCATTATTTCACCCCCCCCCCACGGTAGAGGGGGGGGGGAGTTAAATGATCAACGCCAGCAACGCGACAATAGCTACGGTAGCAACAGTTGCATTTCGCGGAGATCAACAGCGAGAGAATTCAAAATCTACGCAAACAGAACGAGGCAAGAACGGCAGCCTCCATTGCATTGGTTGTGCATCATCAACATGGGACACGGAGGGAAATAACGAGATTGGGCCGGGGGGTGCAAGAGAGATATGGGGAAGAGAGATGGGCAGAGAGAGAGAGAGAGGGAAGGAGAGAGATACCCCGAGGGGGGGGGGAGAGGGCAGGGGTTGAATGAGACGAGAGACTGGGGAAAGAGGCCGAGAGAAGTAAGGACGAGGCAGAGGGGAGTAAAAGAGAAAGGGAGATTCTGTTGGGGTTCAGGGGGGTTTAAGGCAGTGAGCGAACCCCACAATCCGCCACCGGCAGATTCCTCTCGACTTGAGGGGGGGGGGGCGGTGGGGTGTGGCGAGGGTCAGGAGGTGAACGAGAGACGAGATGCGTAAAGTCCACGCAGGCAGGGTTTTTGGCATTCCGAGGTGACGTCACTCACGCACCGAGATAAAAACAAACCTCAGCAACGACGGGGAAACTAACGCAATAACTTACACATCCGGTAACCGTGAGTGTGGCAACCGACGCTCATTACTCACACTACTAAAAAGTTCATTAAATTAACCCATCGAGGGAGCGGCGAGAGGGGGCACAATTCGGTCCGTTGAAAAATTCTGTTGAAGCGGCGGTGATGTAAGGGGGGAGGAGGACCCCCCCCCCCCCCATCTTCTCTCAGCATCCCCCTCCACACCCCCAAAACGGTGCCACCAAAGCAGCCGATAGGCACGGTGGTTTATAACGGCGAGCACTTGCGGGTCATGGGCAATTGCACCACGAAAATAACAAGTCAGTAGTAGTACTAAAAATAATTATAATACTCATATAAAAATAACACAAATTAAATTAATGTCTAGCTTATCTTCGCCCGCCCTTCAGGGCGACGCTTTGAAATCGGCCGTTGAGTCTTAGGAGGGTGGTTGGCGTCCTTCATGTCGTACAGAAATCAAAATAATAAAAGCCAAAAGTCTTCAGGGTGAAATTCACAAACAATAACTTAACGCGACCCACGTCTGCCGAGGGTCACAGATTGAAATTGTCGATGTGGGAGGGGACCAAGTCTCTGGGTCATGATGAGGTTTTGACGATGTGGAGTCTGTCAATGGGTCATTACTCAAATTTTTCGACTCGGGGCTCACGAATTCCCGATGATGCGTGACGACGTCGCGTCTCCGTGCAGACTGGAATTGTTGACGGTCTTGCGAAGATGCCTCTTCTGTGGTCAATTCATTCTTGATGAGGTGAAGCAACGTGGGATGAAATCCCTGGCTCGTGACTCAAACTCTTGATGACGTGCAAAGCTGTGGCACCGCCTTGCTCATCGAAAAAACTCAGGACGCGCGACATTCTCCTCTTCATGCGATGGCGACCGTCATCGACATACTCTCGGCAACATGACTGTCTCAGGGTTCTCCCTGCTGGATGATGTAACATCGTCAACATCGTCGTCGTCATCATCATCACTGTCACAGGCTCTCCTTGCTGCTGCTGCTCGCGTCGTCAGACTCCGACTCGTCCTCGTCCAGAGATGGCCGCCTCAGCTCCGAGGGGGGGGGCCCAAGGGCCGTCTCCGAGGGGTCCACCACCGTGCCCCCCGAAGGCCCAGCCCCTCCTGCGGCGGCGACGCTCCCGCCAACGCTGCCGCCGACGCCGCTGCCGCCGCCAATGCCCGGAGTCATCCAGGGGTGGAGCAGGAGCTCGTCCAGCGACGGGCGATCGGACGGGCGCACGGAGAGGCAGCGCCGGATCAGGTGCTGGCACTCTGCATGGGCGAGGAGAGATGCACGGAGACAGAGTTAGCGGCGGTTTTACAATCGATGCCAACGCGGTGCGCAGTCCGTGTTTCATGCAGAGGGGGCGCCCAGCACACACCTCGTCTGCAAGTTGTGTTCGCAGTAAATTAAATCGTGGCTCCATTGCCAGTGTGTCACCAACTAGTTGTATCAGTCGTTACGCAGACAAGTGCGTTGGCGGTGCAAGCGAGTGGTGGGTGTGGATGCGTGCGCCCGCCCGCGCCGTGCGCCACCTCACCAGGGGAGACGCGCTTGCGGAAGGTGACATGGGCACGCAGGATCTCGCCATCGTGCTCGAAGGGGATGTCCCCGCACACCATGTCGTAGAGCAGCACGCCCAGAGACCACACGGCGGCCGAGCGGCCGTGGTAGCGGTGGCAGCGCACCCACTCGGGGGGGCTGTACACACGCGTGCCTGCACGGGACACAAGACAGATGCACACGGGGTTTACTACGCTGCACTTTTTTAAAATGTGACATTTATTTCTGTTTTTGCAGCTCTCGCGGCGCACCATCCCCATGTTCCAGGAAAATCATTCCTAACGAACTGCAGCTTCCGAGAAGGCATATTAGTTAATACACTAGGGGGCGCTGCACTTACTGACGCGCAGACACTCGGACATCAAAAACGCACAAGTCACACAGATAAGCTTAGGATGCGTGCGCGCACACACGGACACACGCGAATGGACACTCACGTCCGCGCACTGCCGGGAAGCGAGTGGGGGTAGTGGCGAGTGCTATTGAGCAGTTTTTCTGGGTTTTTCTCGTTGTGCAATTTCCTCCTTCCCCCCCGCCAGCCACATACTTCTCGGAAAGGAGAGGGGGTGGGGGGGGCCGGGGGGACAAAATCCATGACTAACGGTGACGATGAGCGATGGGCAAATCTCGCTCCAGTCTTCCTCAACGTTTCCCCGGTGGCTCAAAGCCCGACCCACGCGTGCCACGTCAGCTCAGCTGCCACGCATGCTCCGTCACCGACGCAAAACGCCATGCGGTGCAGAAAACTGGGAAATTACCGTGCCCTTCACACCGCACGGGATTTTGGGGTCTGGTTATAATAAGGTTAAACGATAAGGGTAATGCCATATAGTTCTGGGAAAGTCCTTCCTGTAGGCGGTGGTGGATGTGTAAACAATTATTGTAGGGCAAGTGGGAGTGTTGATTGTCGAACCGGTGTCTGCTAATCGTTTTAGTCTTGGCAGTAGCCTTGACGTTTGTGGTGGTTGTTGCAACAGCCTTGGTAGCGAATGCGTAACGGTAGTGGTGGTGATGGCGGTGACGCTGGCGAAATCGTCGCTGTCGTGTGACGAGGCCACGCGTCACACGCAAATCTGCGGACGTGGCGCACGCTCTCAAGGCCACCACCGCTCGGGCAATTCACGCTCGTCATACCGTGGCGATCGTCTCACAATAGCAGGGGGCACACACATGCGTCACAGCCGCCCCCGCTTATAATTACGACCTTTCGGCAAACAAATAAGGAGGATCGTGGCGGGCCGAGCGAGGCGAGCGAGGTAGGAAATATTCGTGGGGAGGGGGGGGTGGGGATAGGAAATCGACACGCGGCGTGACGCACCCGTGTTTACATAGCGACGAGGATTAAATAAAATAAAAGTCAAGGCGCGCAGTAGAAACTACCAGCAACTCACGCTGACGTGGCGCCACTCCAGAAACGGGTTCAACAACATCCCAACCCCTCTCCCTCCACCCCTTCTTAACGCCCCCCCCCCCTTCCACGTCTTTCCATTGCTTCAACATCCATCCTCTCCCCCGCACTCATCTCCCCCCCTTCCAACTATCTTAACCCCCTCTCTCCCATCTCTCTTAAAACGTCCCTTCCCCCAGCTCCATGCTTGTTCCTCATCTTTTTCCAACTCCCTTCCCTCGATTTTCCTCTGCCGACTTCTCTCAACTCATCTCTCTCTACCATCTCCCAGCGATCTCCCTAACCCCCCTCCCCTCCCTTTACACCCGGCCCGACTCTTGCCAGCGTCATCAGCCCCAGGGGTGTTGGGTGGCGACGGGCGGCCAGCCCAGCCCCGACCACATCACACAGCCTTTCTGTGCCGCCCCACCCCCCGAGTTCTCCCCTCTCACCCCCCCCTCTTCCCTTCCCCGCCTCCGCCCTAAGCCTACCCCACCCCCGCCACCTCGCCGCGCCTGTGTTTACATTTTTCTCGTGCTTGCGAACTGCGTCTGCCTGCGCATAGCTGGCCCCGCGCCACGCACACAGAGAGACGCACACGGCTCTAAAAGGTCATCGCGGACACGCTGCTGACGCTGCCGACACAATCATCGCCCCCTGCGCGCGCTTGAGCGAGGAATGTGTGGAATTCGCTACTCGCAGGACAGAGGCTAAAGCGAGCCCTCGCCCTTTCGTTTAGCCCAAGGATAGACACTTGGGGCTGCCTCCGAGTCTTGCCTTTAATGAAACCCAGCCTCCCACCAAACACAAGTGCGCGTGTGTTAGTAATGAATGCGTTTCACGGGCAGTGAAAGCGAGCCAACATCACACAGCAGTAGCCTCTTGTGAGCGAGAGAGTGGGCAGACTGTTGAGCGAGCAAGTTTGCGAGTTACTGGGAGGGCGAACACAGTTGAGCGTGTGAGCTAGTGTATGAACGTGTGACTGATCAGGCTAGCATGCGACTGGTGAAGCGAGTGCGTGACTAATCCGTGCAGTATGCGAGTGAGCGAGCATTGTGGTCGGAGCATGCGAGGGATTGAAGTGTTATCGAACAAACGTGTGTGTGACTTACCAGTCTAGTATGCGAGTGAGTGCTTAGTGTGCGACTTAAGGCTTGGCAAGTGCGTGATCTGGCACGCCGGTCGGCTTGCCAACTCAGCAAGAGGCCTAAAAGCGAGCTGTGATCCTCTCACCGTCAAAGTCGGTGTACACCGTGTCCTTGAGCAGCGCCCCGGAGCCAAAGTCGATCAGTTTGAGTTCACCGGTCTTGAGGTCCACCAGGATGTTCTCATCTTTAATGTCTCGGTGCAGGACGCCGCACGCGTGGCAGTGTCTCACCGCCTCCACCACCTGGCACAGCACCACATGGGGGTTAGCACACGACCACTGCCGCCCCAGCCACTTAAAGAGGCCGCTACAATCACCACATCACACAATGTGGAGTTTCATTGCGCAGGAGTAATTCAACAACATTCAAACCGAACACCATTTAGTGACCGTCGTTGCAGGCGTTGTTCTTTCAGCGTCGCGTGTTTGTAGTGGCATCACGGTGTTGTGCATGAGTAGCGGCTGGCTAGATCCGTCAAGCCGTGCCCGACGCACCTGTCTAAAGAAGTCCCGAGCCAGCGCCTCGGGCAGTGCCCCCCTCTCCGTGATGTAGTCGAAGAGATCGCGCGACGGCTCGGGGCGTTCCAGCACCAGCACGAAGCTGTCCGCCCGCTCGTACCAATCCAGCAGGCGGATCACGCCGCGCTGGTGGTTGCCGTGGCTGCCGTGGTGGTTGTGGTGGTGGGGAACGGCGCAGGCGGTGCCCCCCGCTCCGCTTCCACCGCCGCAGGGCACGGGGGGGTACGGGCCCCCCACCCGCTTCAGCAGGATCACCTCCAGCGGCACGAGAGCGCCACTTGGCTGGGGAAGAAGCGCAGGCGACGCGATGTTACGGGCGAGGGTGTGGTTGGGAGGGCTGTGGTGTATGTGTATGGCAGACCCGGTGGAGTTGCTGTAGGTGTGCAAGGTAGAGTTAGGGCTGTGTGTAGTGAGAGGGGATGATGGGGGGGGGGGGGCTCAGGGCTGAGATTGTGGTACTCACTAGTTGCCCCCACTCGGTGACTCGCTCCTTGGACACGTGCTTGATTGCGACCTGCAGGGGTGGTGGGTGAGGAGGGGTAGAGGAACAAACACAAGGCAATTAACTCCCGCCCTCCTGCGTCATCACGTCCAATTAAGGGCTCAGCGATCATGTGGAGTGGGTTAGGGCGAGTGGGGGTGAGAGTGAGTGAATTCTCGAGCGCTGTGATTTGGTGCGAATGGGCTGTGTGCAAATGAGTTTGTGTTGTGATGGTTGGGGTTGTTGCCGTGTCTAGAAACTATGATATGGCGTTTTGTTTTGTATTTAACGGTTCTCATGGGTTGGTGTCCTCCAAGCGACGGTGTTGTGCACTTGATTTGCAAGTAGCCGTGGTTGCGTTAGTGGCGTTGTGCACGGGTGTTGTTATGGCGTTGTGTTGGCAGTGGTTTTGCATTACACTGCGCGTGATGGCGTGGGGGTGAATTACACGCGCCATGACTCATCTTAACGCCGCGTTCAGCCGGGGGGCGGCGTGTGTGCTTGATGCACTTGCGTTGTGTCGTGTGGGTGTGTGCCACGGGGTTGGTTGATGGATGGATGGTGGTGGTGAAGTGTTCGTCCGCGGCTGTGCGGCGTGCCGGTGCGTGCGCTAACGTGTGGTGTGGCTGCAGAGTGGTGTGCTGCAGAGTGGTGTGCTGCTCACAGGTAGGCCGTCGCTCGCCCGCACGCCTTGGTAGACGGTGCCGAAGCCGCCGCTGCCCAGTACGGGCCCCACCTGGTAAAGCTTCTCCAGGGGTTCCCTCTCTCCACGCCCTGAGGGGGGTCACACACAGAGGGGGGGGGGGGAGATCAGCCATGGCGAGAGGGAGATTGGGGGGGTCTATTTTTATAAGGGAATGTGGGAGACCCTTCCCTCTCCCGTATAGAGAGGGGGGGGGGGGTCCGTTGTTAATTATCTGAGGGATCCCTTATCGAAAACACAGGGCCAAACAAATAATACAATCTATCACCATTTGTTTACACAACGAAGCTCTTGAATTCGATGGCAATTCTTCTGGGGTTTATCATAAGTCAGCCTTGTTAAAGGAATGCTGATGGCGGGTGCCAGATGTAATAATAACACTGGGAAGAGGACACCATATAAAACAGGGTGTCCGTGTTGTAATACATAATCAAGTCCGTGTGGAAGCTGTAATCCACCAGTGGCCTGATCACGGCCGATGACGATGTGTTTAAGCGGGGTATCTGTGGCACTGTTGTTGTTAAACTTCGTGTTGCCTGGTTACGTCACGAGGCAATTAAAGATAATTAAACCAAAACAGCAGCGCCCCCCCCCAAATCCCATTAAACCCTCCAACCCCCCCACTCCAAATTGAACCACGAAACTGACCCCGCCACCCACACCCCCCTAATTAGAACAGCAACCCCAGTGAAAATCCCCTTAAACCCCACAGCATCATAAAAAACCCTTAACTACAGCGGAAGCCCTATCGAGAAAACTCAGTACCTTCTATAAACCACCGAAACTTCACAGTGAATCCCATACACTATCGAACGCCCCCCATGTCTACATTGGAACATCACTACCCCCCCCACTCAACCGTACAATCCTAACCTCGTACACATCGCAACCACGAAAATTAACACGAAGCGCATTCAACTCTTCATTCAAAACAACCACACATCCCACTCCCGCAATCAAAACCCCATAACCACTACAAATCCGAACCCATCGAAACCACTAACCCTACATCTTAGCTGATACACCATTTCACAAACCCAAAAACAGTTAACATTTTATCAACGCTACTACAAACCCATACATTAAACCCTACCACCACAAACCCATACATTAAACCCTACCACCACAAACCCATACATTAAACCCTACCACCACAAACCCATACATTAAACCCTACCACCACAAACCCATACATGAAACCCTACCACTACAAACCCATACATTAAACCCTACCACTACAAACCCATACATTAAACCCTACCACCACAAACCCATACATTAAACCCTACCACTACAAACCCATACATTAAACCCTACCACCACAAACCCATGCATTAAACCCTACCACTACAAACCCATACATTAAACCCTACCACCACAATCCTATAAAATAAACCGTACCACAACAAACCTAAACCCATAAAAATCGCCTCTCCATACCACGGCCCCCACCCCCACTCACCACGTGCCGCCCCACAGCGCGGGAAACGAACAAAACCAAAACAAAACAAAGCGGCAGGAAACGCGGCGGAGGGGATCACGGGGGGACCCCAGCGAGCGCACGACCATAGCGGGGGTGGGTGAGGTGGGTAGGTGACCCCAAAAGAGAGCGGATGATCGGGGGAAAGCCGTGGAAGAGATGATGATCCGACCAGACATAAGGAGAAAGGGGAGAACGACACGCAGAGATGGGGACAATCACTGAGAACGAAGGGATACGAGAGCGAATTCGGGGAGAGCGTGGTCGACTGCTTCGGGGAGCGGACAAGGAGTGGAAGAGCTGTGGGGGGGGAGAAGGGGGGGGTGATGATGAGTGAGTCTCTACGACGGACCTGTGTGCACGTTGCTCTTGCACGAGGGGGTGTCCGCGGCGCCGGGCGGGCAGATGTGAGCGAACGAGGCCGCCTTCTTGGAGAGCAGCATTCTCGGCGGGGCCGACTCCCGCTCGCCCTGGCACACCCCGCCGCTGTAGGCCCGGGGTCGCGTCGTGGAGCCGTGGGGTGGAGGTGGTCCCGAACACGCAGAGGTCGTCCCCGCGTTGTTGAGTAGAAGCGGAGGACGCGAGAGCGATTAGGTCCCCGACTACGTAGTCCCCGCTTGAGTAGATGGTATCCGAAGGAGTGTCTCCCCGGTTTGGTTGACAAGAGGAGGTAGGGGGGTGGGGTGTGTCGGTTCGATTGACTTGGGTGGGTTAGGGTGTTCCAAAGGGCGCCTTGGTTACGTTGAGATTGGAGGCTGCTAGGAGAGGATACGCCCTCACGTCTGCACTGCGCGACTGCTGAAGCCGCTCTGAGCACTGCGCGCCCCTCACCGCGATATCCCCGCGCCCGCTGCCGCCACCGCCGCTTTACTGCCTCGACGCCGCGCAATATCCTTCCGCCAGCTCGGGATTTCCCCGGCGAAAACACTAAATATTACGCGGTTTTTTTTACCCGGGGAACGAGCTTGCAACGACGATTTATTGCACGTTAAATATGAGAGAAATATATTTCAACGGGAAAATTACATTTCCGGTTTTTTTATTCCGTTGAATTCGGCCGGGACGCGTTCGAGCAGCCGCGGCGCTATTTTTCTCGCAGTAAAAACCGTCGCACTCCGTCAGTCGCGGCCCCTCGTCCAATCAGCGACGGGGGTTATTCAAACCCTCCAATCAGAATGAGAGGCAGAAACGCCGGGGTGGGTGTGTGAGCGGTGGGGGGGGGGGCAAGGGGTGTCGGGAGAGAGGGGGTCTCGGGATTCCCGCCAAAACGCTGCGGCGCGCGCTACGCGCATAGCGGCGAGGGGAGGGACGGAGGTGGGGGGAGGGACGGAGGTGGGGGGGATGAAAATAAAGGCGCCAAATGAGTCACGTGACCCTTCTCGGCAACGCTCCCCCCCCCCACCACCATAACACAACACCAACAGCCGCCAGTCGCGCGCCAAATCAATGCCCCCCCCCCCATCATCAACATGCCCCCCATCATCAACATGGACCCCCCCCCATCCTCAAATGGACAGCCCCCCATCCTCAACATGCCCACCCATAATCATCATGGACCCCCCCCATACTCAAAATGGACCCCCCCCATAATCAAAATGGACCCCCCCATCCTCAAATGGACAGCCCCCCATCCTCAACATGCCCACCCATCATCATCATGGACCCCCCCATACTCAAAATGGACCCCCCATCATCAACATGGACCCCCCCCAATCATCAACATGCCCCCCATCCTCAAATGGACAGCCCCCCATCCTCAACATGCCCACCCATCATTATCATGGACCCCCCCATACTCAAAATGGACCCCCCCCCATCATCAACATAGACCCACCCCCAATCATCAACATGCCCACCCATAATCATCATGGACCCCCCCATACTCAAAATGGGCCCCCCCCATCATCAACATGGACCCCCCCCAATCATCAACATGCCCACCCATCATCATGGACCCCCCATACTCAAAATGGACCCCCCCCAATCATCAACATGGACCCCCCCCAATCATCAACATGCCCACCCATCATCATCATGGACCCCCCCATACTCAAAATGCCCCCCCCCCCCATAATCAACATAGACCCCCCCCCCATCCTCAACATGCCCCCCTATCATCAACATGGACCCCCCCCCCATCCTCAAATGAACAGCCCCCCATCATCAACATGGACCCCCCATACTCAAAATGCCCCCCCCATCATCAACATGGATCCCCCCCTATCCGCAACATTCACCAACGCCACAACCAAGCCTCCCCCCCCCTCACATTCGTTGATAACACACGGATTGTGTATAAGACGCTCCGGAAAATAAGACGCACTACCCCCCCCCCCCCCCCCCCCCCCCCAATAAGATGTTTAAAGTTTTACATATGTTGTCACCTATACCGGATTATAAGACGCGCCCCATCCACATTTGCTTGAGAAGACATGGGGGACGGGAAAACGGCACAGTCTTCCGGATTATAAGACGCACAATTTTTATTCCTTTGTAAATTACAACATATGGGGGGGGGGGGGGTAGTGGTGCGTCTTACTTTTCGGGTGCGTCTTATAATCCGGAAAACTGAAGTTTTTTTTTTAAACATGAATACATTTTTTAAAACATAATAATTTGTAACATATCATAATTTGCCTCAAAAATGTTCCAACTGAACGCCTCCCACGTTCCCCCTATCCGCCAACGTAAAATAAATGAAAATAAACACAACTTGTAAATTAATACGCGCGCGTGTGCGCGTGTGGGTGAGCCACGGCGTTAGCAGGCGCCGCACGTAGCGGCCAGACAGTCTGGGGTGAGGAGAAGGAGGAGGAGGGGGGACTACTACCCCCCCAATAATCTCGCAACAAGAGCTCGTTTCTTTATTGTAGTTTAATGTTTTTTAAACTCTAACGCGAGGTTTAAAAATAAACCGACCGGAGGGTGAGAGAGTGAAGTGAGTTGCAGCGTGTGAGGGGGAGAAAAAGTCGCCGATGACTCCACTCCACATTCTCTCCCCCATCCTCCTCCTCCCTCCTCGCCACTAATTATATCATCGCTCACGTTTGTTAATTGTCGAGGCGAACTTGCGAAAAAAGCGACGTGTAAAATCAACAATATTTGTCGAATGTTGATTAAGTTCTGATTAATCAACGAATAATTACCGGAATGGTCGTGTTTTAACCGGATTATAAGACGCACTTGCACCCCCCCCCCCAAACCTCTCTTTATTATAAAGAGGCTCAAAAAATCTTCTTGGCTTGTCCTGTCGAGATCGGGCACATTTTGGTGAAGGTTATGAGGACTATAAGACGATTCGGAAAGTAAGACGCAGCCCCCCCACCCACCCCCCTTAATCGATATGTTTCAATGGTATCGATTAAGTTACAAAGACAAAAGATCCTCAACGAATGCTCGGGGCAAGTTTGCTGTTGTCGAATGGCACCGATGAAAGCCGCGAACGGCACACGACCGGTGACGAGCACCAACCCTCCACCCCCGGCCGCCTTTGTCTCCCCAGTGTCGATGTATTCATTCCATTCATAATAAGAGGTGTTTTTTTGGGGGGGGGGGGGTGGTTTAGATCGCGTAAATATATTAAATGTGTCGTTAAACCCGCCACCACCCGACACAGCCAACTAGTAAGCTTGTCGTAAACAGAACGTGACAATTCGTTATACTATGTACAGCACACCGGTTGTGTATTGGAGAGTAAACCCACAAACATTAACAAATTCGACCGCGACGTTTCGCCAGTCATTAATTACAAGCGGCATCATCAGGCGAAAGCCAGATTCGTGAGATAAATCCTCCCGGTTCGTTCTCAAATAGCCAAAGCTTACGTGTTAAACTATTAATGCCATGCTGTCCGATCTCACCGGATTATCTGATCCCCCCCCCCCCCCCCACAAACTTTCACTTTCAAAAATGTGCGTCTTATATAATGCGGAATAGTAAAAGTCAGCTAATTTACAAACGTCTCGCACACTCATCGCTCCCCGTGTCGGATGAACGTGGCTAGGAGGCGGATAGCTATCGGGTTGTGGATTCTTGCATTCGTCTGTGCGGAGTTTTTTCGAACGTTTTGTGGATGTGGTGTTTTTTGTTTGTTTGTTTGTTTGTTTTTCTAGCCGGGTTAGTAGGTTCACTTCTCTCACACAAAGCCAGACGCATTCTGCATTCTTTAAAACTTTTAATTCGTGGTCAAACCACCCAATGTGGCAGGAACATCCGAAGGAGTCTTGGGGGTTTACCTTGGTAAATTGGGGCGCCGCGGTGGCTATGAGATGTTAACTACCTCGCCTGGTATACAGGAGGTCGTGGGTTCCATCCCGACCCTGACACCTGCTGTATATTTGAAGTTTGCGTGTCTCTCTCATCATCATCATGGTAACTAGGAGATGTTAAACCCCTCAACTGGTATACAGGAGGTCGTGGGTTCGAACCCGACCCTGACACCTGCTGTATATTTGAAGTTTGCGTGTCTCTCTCATCATCATCACGGTGGCTAGGAGATGTTAAACCCCTCAACTGGTATACAGGAGGTCGTGGGTTCGAACCCGACCCTGACGCCTGCTGTATATTTGAAGTTTGCGTGTCTCTCTCTCGCCTGTAATACAAGGAGGTTGTGGATTCGATCCCGACCCTTGACACATGCTGTGTATTTGAAGTTGTGTGTCCCTCTAGGAGATGTTAAACCCCTTGCCTGTAATACAAGGAGGTCGTGGGTTCGATCCTCGACCCTGACACCTGCTGTATATATTTGGAGAATACGTGTCTCTCTCCCCGTGGTGGCATGGATTTTTCTCCGGGTCACATTTAGAAACATGCGTTGAGAGGATTTGGCTTCTGTAAATGTCCACCGTGTTCAGCGATCACTTGTGGCCAGGTCGCTTCTGAAATAGAGCTATCATAGCCCAGTCAGTGGGCCTTACCTGGCAAAATAACACAACAAAGTAAATAGTTTATAGAACTTTTCTGCTGGTGTCGCGTATTTGTGGAGTCACAACAGTCACAGCGATTTTCCGCTCAACTGAGCAGTGAGCCAGTGCTCATATCCACCTTTTTTTTACAGCCCTCAGCCAGTGGTGAAAATTCCACGTTCCTACGGCGGGGGTACTAGTCTATCCATAGGACAACGACTGTTCACGTGGTACTCAATTGTATCGACCCCGGAGGGAGGCATGGATGATGGGCTGAGTCAACCTCCGATTGCTGTTGGGCCGTTCCCACCACCACCCGGCCGCATCCCGCAGATAAAGTCGTTCTATTTCACGAAGAGTCTCAAGACTCATTTTCAGGAGGGCTCTGGCCAGAATGAGTCTGGCTTCGTGTGAGAAGCAACCCGGAAAAAAAACCTGGAGGGAAAACCTCACCCACTGCGCGCAACGGTCACCAATTTCGCACAGATTAATTCCAGAATACATGTCTGTATTAGCCATTGCACTTACTGCCATTGTACTTTTATTTACTACTTATGGTTGTTTGGTTAACAACTAGGAAATTATCTCCTGGTCATTGGAACGCAAAAACGCCCCCCCTCTCTCTCGGGCTGACGATGAGGCTGCCACTAATTGAATCCACTTTAATTGAATCGTTGTTTACGCATTCATTTTACTTGAAACGTTTATAACAGCGCAACAGAGCATAATGAGGTTCAGTTTCAGAGCCCCTGCAGCAACGTAACAAAACAATAACTTTCAATTAAAGTCACAAAAACACGTGGGTAGGAAATAACTAATTAGTTTAGCGACAACGCGAGTTCGTGACATCTTCAAAATGCTCAAAACAAACATCCGAATGACCACCGCATCTCCCAAACACTCCCCCTCGATTGAAGTTATCTTACAGAATCACCTCTGATTAGCATGCACGGTCGGCTACGTACGACGCGAAATAAGTTCAAGATACATAGAAAATAAGAACGTTTTAATGTACAGGGTGGATCAGATGTCTTGAGACCCACAATTAATTGACCGCTAACATTTTTGCCTTTTGCAAATAGTGATCTTTTTAAAATAAACCTGATTAAGTTTTATAAATTTAAATGGGGGGGTCTCAAGAC